CGGGTTCGATTCCGGTCAAGGGCATGTACCTTGGTTGCGGGCATATCCCCAGTAGGAGGTGTGCAAGAGGCAGCTGATCGATGACTCTCTCTCCTCAATGTTTCTAACTCTCTCTCTCCCTTCCTCTCTGTTCAAAATCAATAAAAATGTATTTAAAAAAAAAAAGAGAAAAAAAATACGAGGAAACTTTGGGGGGTGATGTAAAAGTCTAAAACGGACTGTGGTAATGGTTGTACAATTCTCTAAGTTTACTAAAAAATCACCAAATTGTATGTTTACAATGGATGAGTTCTAAGGCACACAAATTATACCTCAATGAAGCTATTAAAAGAAAATTAATACAGCCCTAGCTGGTTTGGCTCAGTAGAGAGAATGTCAGCCTGTGGACTGAATGGTCCATGTGCCCTTGACCAGAATTGAACCTGGGTTTCCACTCTCTCTAAAAATCAAGGTTGGGTGACACTCCAGAATGGGAGACAAGCCAATTTGGGAGCAGACTAGATCCACCTTCATTCAACATTACTACCTACCATTTGATAACAACAGAACCTAACTACCGTGTTTCCCCGAAAATAAGACAGTGTCTTATATTTTTTTCTCCCAAAGTCGCGCTAGGTCTTATTTTCAGGGGATGTCTTATCTTTCCATGTGCAAGGTCTTATTTTCGGAGGATGTCTTATTTTCGGGGAAACACAGTAGTTGCAATTTACATTGACACATCATGCCTTACATGGGAAGGACAGCAATTCCAGGGGAAAGCTGCCATTGTGAAAAAGTTGTCTAGCCTCCCATTCCAGAAAATCCAGCACAGAATCACAGCACAGGACCATCAACCGGCACCAGATAGCTGCATCCTCAGCACGGTTGTGGGCCAGCTTAAGGCTGATGAAGACCCCATCATGGGGTGCCACCAGATGTTCCTACTGAAGAAGATCAACGATGTTTGGGTTCACACCAATGGCATGTTCAGGCTTGCCAGGCACAATTTCAGCTGACCTCCTCCCTGCCAGGCACTCATGCTGTTTCCTCCTCCCTCCTCTTCCAGATACTATTCACCCTCCTGCAGATGCTCCAAATATCCATCACAAATGAGCAGGACCGAGGTGGGAGCGGGCTGCTGCTACCTACCGTGTTTCCCCGAAAATAAGACATACTCCGAAAATAAGACCTAGCACATGGAAAGATAAGACATCCCCTGAAAATAAGACCTAGCGCAACTTTGGGAGAAAAAAATTAATATAAGACACTGTCTTATTTTCAGGGAAACAGGGTAGGTATTGTGCATGATGTTTGGACGCTAGACTAGCTACATCTGACGTTTGTATTGTACCAGTGCATGCCTTGGAAAGACTTAGTAATGCAAAAGGTTGTCTTTTTTTCTTTTTTCCTTATCTACTAACAAGTTGCTCTAGTAACCCAAAGGAGTGAAGGAGAAAGCAGCTGCTCACAGTCCAGATATTGACTTGTTCAGATGTTTCAATGCTTCATGATAAAATTTTTCTTAACAGTTAAAAATATATATACATATATATTTTTAAAGAACAATTGAGCCCTAGCTGGTTTGGCTCAGTGGACAGAGTGACTTCAAACTGAAGGGTCCAGGGTTTGATTCCAGTCAAGGGCACATGCTCAGGTTGTAGGCTCCATCCCCAGTAGGGGATATGCAGGAGGCAGCCGATCAATGATTCTCTCACCATTGATGTTTTATCTCCCTCTCCTTTTCTTTCTGAAATTAATAAAAATATATTTTAAAAATAAGAAGGAGGAGGAAGAGGAGAAGAAATCAATTGAAAGGTCCTTTGAGGAACCTGCTAAAATCATCTCAAATGCTCCTGCAGTCCCCAGTCCATTGGGAAGAAAACATACTAAAGTACTGCTAAGATCCCCTCTGCCTCCAACTGACCCTCTCCAAGCTAGGGACAAAGCAGCAGAAAGGATAGCCTTTGGACTGGACAGGCCCCCAACACTGCAGTCACTGGCAGCAAAACCCAGGCGGCCCATGGCACCCACCTGGGTGCCAGTCCCAATCTACTAGTTGCAGCTGACTGGGTGTCCATTAGTGGATTCTGAAACCAATTCCAGGCTCAGCTGGAAAGAGTGTCCTGACTGATTAGCAAAGTCTGCCACGCAGAACCTAAAAATGGTGCTGCAAATGCCTTGTATTTGTGGCTTTGCCCAAAGGTCCAAGAGAAGCCCTAGTCGGTTTGGCTCAGTGGATAGAGCATCAGCTAGGCAAACTCATTAGTCAACAGAGCCAAATATCAACAGTACAATGACTGAAATTTATTTTGAGAGCCAAAACCTGAATTCTGCACATGGGACACAAAGTTTCAATCATACTGTACGTGAGGCGCCCGAACGGGTATTTTGTGGAAGAGCCACACTTAAGGGGCCAAAGAGCCTCATGTGGCTCGAGAGCCGCAGTTTGCCGACCACTGAGCTAGTGGACTGAAAACTCTCAAGTTTGATTCTGGTCAATGGCAGGTACCTCAGCTGCAGGCTCCATCCCTAGTCCTGGTGGGGCACGTGCAGGAGGCAACCAATCAGTATGTCTCTCTGTCTCTAACCCTCCCTTCCACTCTTTCTAAAAATCAATGGAAAAACTATCCTCAGGTGAGGATTAACAAACAAAAAAAGGTCCAAGTGAAGGGACATCAAGTTTGCTTTGGTCCCAGGTGCCACATTAAATTTTTTTAAAATATGTTTTTTTTATTGATTTCAAAGTGAGAAAGAGAGATAGAAACATCAATGATGAAAGAATCACTGATTAGCTGTCTCCTGCATGCCCCCTCCTGGGGATTGAGCCCAAAATCCAGGTATATGCCCTGACCAGGAATCAAACCATGACCACTGAGCCACACAAGCCTGGCACCACATTAAATTTTTAAAAAATATATATTTTATTGATTTTTACAGAGAGGAAGGGAGAGGGATAAAGAGTTAGAAACATTGATCAGCTGCCTCTTGCACACTCCCTACTGGGGATGTGCCCACAACCAAGGAACATGCCCTTGTCCAGAATTAAACCTGGGACCCTTAAGTCCACAGGCTGACATTGTATCCACTGAGCCAAATCAGTTAGGGCACATTAAACTTTTTTATTTTTTTAATAGATTTTATTGATTTTTTTACAGGGAAAAAAATAGAGAGCCAGAAACATCGATTAGAGAGAAACATCGACCAGCTGCCTCTTGCACACCCCCTACTGGGGATGTGCCCGCAACCAATGTACATGCCCCTGACCGGAATCAAACCTGGGACCTTTCAGTCCTCAGACCGACGCTCTACCAGTGAGCCAAACCGGTTTCGGCACATTAAACTTTTTTATATCTCTGCCATACCACTGCTAACTGCTATTAGGGTCTGAGCTAATCACCTGATTTCCTTCTTAACCCATTATAGCAGCTAATACTTTTCGCGAGTTCTTAGGTATGAGGCACTGTTCTGAGTACTGTACAAGGATCAGCCCATTTTACAGATGAGGAAACTGTGGCCCAGGGGCCGAAGCAACTTGCCTAAGGTCACTCAGCTAAAGACAGACTGGAAGAACATAAACGATGAAAAGGATGACTTCAACAGTTGCTCCATCATCTGGGGAAGTCAGCCCACAGAGCCTCCAGAGGGTCCCCAAACCAGACTGGGCCGCCCTGCCCTTGTGCCTGAGCCACAAGCAGGCATGGAGAACTCCCCAACTAGTAGGCAACAGTATCTTCTGCCCAGTTGTGACTGCATCTCCTACTCACTGTCCTAAATCTATATCCACCCCCTTCATAACCAGTAGCTCCAGACAATCCATTTCTTTCATCTTCTCAAATCAGGGCAGGGCAGTTCTCAAACTTGAGTGGACATTGGACTCACCTGGGGAATAGGTTATAAATGCAGGTTCCAAGGCCCCCAGCAGGTCTGAAGCAGGGTCTGGGAACTGTATGTTTCACAAGCTTCCCCACTGGTGGGAGCAGGTGGTTCCTCTGAACCACACTCAGAGAAAACTGGGCCTGGTGGGTGACCGCGGGCCAACTGGGAGGCCTAGAAGACCACGTCTGATCAGATGCTTCAGAAGCCAGGATCAGAGGACCCAACCTGGAAGTTCCCATGATATCCGAACTCCCCATCCTCTTTCTCCTCTTTCCATGGCACATGACCAGATGAGGGAGATGGGCAATAAGGAACTGGGGCCAAAGTTCCAGGTTAGGCCACACTTATTATTAAAGGCACCAGAACAGAGTAGGAACAGCTCATTTGAGAGTCATATTCCTGGTCCCAGATGTGCTTCCAATCTCCCACTCCTTGGGAAAGTCACACCCTCCCTGCTGGCGGCTCAGGTCTCTTGTCCCAAAAAAAGGAGACCAGAGAACCCAGAGGTCAGTCCCCTCCAGCCATTCTCCTGTTCTCCAGCAAGATTCCCAGCCTCTTCCCAGCCCAGACTATAATCATCTCCTCGGGCCCAGCTCCACGGTCCCCACCATACACAGGCGCCAGCCAGGAGGTCATAGGAGAGCTAAATCTCTGTCCATACGGGACGGAGAGTGTCTGGACCACTGTCTGGATCTTCGCACCAAGTCACCCAAGAGAGCCAAAACCGGCGATGGTGTGATGTCAATCTGTATGACAATGACCACTTTGTGAGCACGGAGTGAAGCGCTGGGCACAGCGCTAACTCCTTGGCTGCGTCGCGCCCGAAACCTCATCCGGGGCCTAGCAGTTTCCCCGAGGGTCTCCCCCGTGTGCAGACAGGGAGCTGAGGCACGCAGGGCGAAGGGGCTGACCCAAGGTCACCCAGCCTGGACAAGGAGGCCAGTCCAGGGCCCCACGCACGCCCCGGGGGGCCGGGTCGAGGGCGCCAGCAGCTCTGGGCAGGAAGACGGCAGGCCAGGCCGGGAACCCAGGGCAGCCCGACCCGACCCCGGCGCGGAGGGCCCCCGCACGGGCGCGCCTCGCCGGTCCCGCCGGCCGCCAAGTCCGCGCCTCGCCGTCGGCGCCCGAGTCCGCCCGCCACTCACCGCACTTCGGGGGATAGCGATAGGCCGAGTTCGCCTGAATGTCGATGTCCTCCACGCCCGCAATGCGTCGGCTCAGGATGGAGCCCATGGTCACGACGGGCCGGCCCGGCCGGGACCGAGTGGGACGGGGGCGGCGGCGGCAGCGGCGGCGTCTTCACGCAGACATGGCCCGGAGCAGGCCGCACAGACGCCAGCCCACGGCCACCCGCGGAAGCCTCCGCCTCCGAGCCCCACCCCCGACTCGGCCGGGCCGACGCGACGGCAGCCCTCCGCCCCCGGTCCAAGGCATCTCGGGAAATGGAGTCCCCTTGCCTCCGAGGGCACCGGGCTGACGCGCGGAAAGAGCGCGCCTAATCAACTACATTTCCCAGGGTGCTCCTCGCCCAGGTCCTCTGAAGTTGTTGACAAGCGCTCCGGGACAAACCAAAGGGAACTTCTCTGGACAAACCTGAGAGGCGGGACCGTCAACCACCACGCAAGTTGCCCTTCCCTCTGCATTCCAAGCACTGCACCAACGTTGTAACTCTTTAGCCTCCTAATAATCCGTTCACATGCAGACCCTTTTATTTATCCACCTTTACTATACCCCTCTCTGAAATATCTCCCTGAGCCACCGTGGCACTCCCCGCTTCCCTGGGTTCATCTCCTGTCCTGGCCAGCAGAGGGCACGCATTTACTTGCCACCCCAAGCTTACCTGGAGAGATGGTCCAAGACCTTATCCTTTTCCAAAATTCAAGGCATCTTTCCGATTCTACGTCCAGAACAATAACACATAATTTTAAAGCGACACCTCCCCTACCAAAGAGGCAGTAGACCTCTCCCCTTTTTACAAGTAGAGAAACTGAAGCATGAAGTAAGGGGGTCTGCATATAAGGTCAGAATTAAAACTTTGCAGGTTGCAATGAATTCTCCTGGCATATATCATATATATATTTGATTTTAAAGAGGGAGAGGGAGAGAGAGAAACATCGATGAGAGGAATCATTGATTGACTGCCTCTTGCACACCCCACACTGGTGTTAGAGCCTGCAATCCAGGCATGTGCCCTACCTGACCAAGAATCCAACTGTAACCTCCAGGTTCATAGGTCAACATTCAACCATTGAGCCAGGCGGGCCTGGCTTCTGGCTTTTGACTTACATAAAACTCAGTAAGCAGGAAACAGGGGCTTTGTTTTTTATCTACTTTTCAGTTGAGAAACAGAGGTTCCCAGAAGAAAGTGACTTCCCCAGTAGAACCTGCTGTATCCAGAAAGTAACTAAGGAGGGCAGTGGCTAGCTAAGAGTCTCAAACGATAAGTTCACCACAGTCCACATTAAAATTAGTCTTTTACCTTTCTAGAGGCCAGAATCCAGAATGCTTCCTTCTGTTGTCGGGGGACCAGGAAGCCAAAACTAATAAAGAAAGGAAAGAGTTGGATGATTGTGAGGGAGAGGCCATGTCTTGGGAGAGCTTGATTAAATCTCTCTGCTCCACAACTAAGACCCTTTTTAGTGAGCCCCTACTACATTCCAGACATGGTGTTGAGGGCTTTGCACATATTTTCATTTAATTCTTTAATATCAGTCCCATTTTCATTCCCAATTTACAGAAAAGTGAGGCTGGGAGAGGTGAAGTACCCCACGCAGGTCACATAGTATATAAGTGGTAAAGCTGGAATTTGAACCAGGCTACTTCTTTTAAGAGACGTGCCACCTCAGAAACAGGAAGGCTCCAGTGTGCCAGATTTCATATCTCTTGTCCCCTGAAAACACCCCCACCCCATGTGATCTTCCTTTAAATTTATTTCTGTTGAATCACATAACATTTGTATATAGACCAGCACTGATTCTCTGTGTAGATATACCAACCTCCCACTCTGTGGGGAGGGAGTGAGAATACTGAAGACCCTGATGTTCCCATTGAAAAAATAACCTAAAGGGCACGTCCTCCCCATGGATCCTGGGCCAGGGAGTCATTTCCATGGAGACACTTTTTTTTTTTTGGCTAATTAAACATTCCTCCTAATAGAGCTTTGGACTTGTGGTGTATTTTTCTGTGTTTATCTATGCCCAACTGGGAGACAGTCCCTTTCTTTTTTTAATTTAAATTCTTTATTGTTTAAAGCACATGTGTCAAACACAAGGCCCGCGGGCCAAATCCGTCCCACCAGGCCTTGCAATGTGGCCCGCACCGCGCTGTCATCACTGCACTCTGCTGCGTTTCCATCACAATGACAGTTTATGACTGTTCAGTAAACCATTTGGCCCGCGATTTAGGCTGGATTTTAGATTTTGGCCCCTTCTCTGATTGAGTTCGACACCCCTAGTTTAAAGTATTACATGAGCTGAAACCAGTATGGCTCAGTGTATAGAGCGTCGGCCTGCGGACTGATCGATGATTCTCTCTCATCAATGTTTTTTAACTCTCTATCCCTCTCTCTTCCTCTCTGTAAAAAATCAACTATATATATATATATATATATCAACTTATATATATATATAAGTACATAGCTGAAATTGGTTTGCCTCAGTGGATAGAGCATCAGCCTGAGGACTGAAAGGTCCCAGGTTCGATTTGGGTCAAGGGCATGTACATTGGTTGTGGGCATATCCCCAGTAGGGGGTGTGTAAGAGGCAGCTGGTCCATGTTTCTCTCTCATTGTTTCTAGCTCTCTATCCCTTTCCCTTCCTCTCTGTAAAAAATAAATAAAATAGATTTTTTTAAAAGAAGTATCTGAATACAAGGTGTGGTGGGTTCTATGGGGGAATGGATTGAGATGATATGAAATAACAATGAGAGATCTTCTATTGATAGGGGAGTGAGGGGAAAGAAGGCATCTCTGAGGAGGTTACATTTAAGCCAGGACTTGAAATATATGAGCTAACCAGGCAAACTCTGAGGGGTTAAGCCAGGTTCCAGGCAGGGGGAACATCATGGACAAAGACTCTGAGGCAGCACAGAGCTGATTATGATTTCTGAGCTCAAAGGCCAGCGTGGCTAGAATCAAGTAAAGGGAAGAGTATGGGAACAGAGATCAGCCAGTATTGAGTCATGTGAAACAGAAAAACACATTGTCTTGTTGTTCCACCTATTTATGCATTTTTTTAAATATATATTTTATTTCAGAGAGGAAGGGAGAGGGAGAGGATTTGGCTCAGTGGATAGAGCTTTGGCCCACAGACTGAAAGGTCCTGGGTTCTATTCTGGTCTAGAGCCTATACCTTGGTTATAGGCTTAATCCCTGGCCCCAATCAGGGCAAATGCAGGAGGCAACCAATCAATGTGTCTCTCGCATATCAATGTTTCTTTCTCTCGCTCTGTCTCTTCCCTCCCTTCCACTCTCTCTCTCTAAAAAAAAAAAAAAAAAAAAAAAAAAAAAAAAAAAAAATTAATGGAAAATATCTTTGGGTGAGGATTAACACACACACACACACACACACACACACATACACACATACACACAGGCTCTAGGCACAGTTCATGACCTCCAGGGGTGAGTCCCTCAAGTCTACACTTCTCAAGCCTCATGAGAGGGCAGGATCCTCAACTATCCATTCTTGTGCTCTGATAAGCACATCCGTGGAATGATTGGAAGAATGGGGGAGGTGGCGAGAAGGAGGCCAAGGGATGCTGAGAAGGCCACGACCCTGCACCTCTGTGAACTGGCTATGCCAACTTTGGCAAGGCCCTCATCTGTCTGGACCTCAGAAAAGATGAGGGCACTGCCTGAAATGCATCTTACTTTTTCATCCCTCATCTATTGGCCTCAGCTAGCAGCCCCCATCTGAGCCTGCTAAAGAAGCCAAAGTACACTTTGTAGCCAGGCTGAAAACAAAGTTTTTTACTTCTCTGCTGCTCCTGGAAAACAAGCCAGCTGGGGGACTGTAGGGGCCAGAGGGGTGACCTTTGCTTTTGCCAGCCCCACCTACCCCACCCCAGTCTGGGCTGAACAAGCCTGTGCAGGTACCTGAGTGGTGCCTGGATGAGGGGGGGGCAGGTACTTTCTGCCTCCCTCAGCAAGAAAAGCCCCCAGTAGGCCCTGCCAACACTCACCCTCCCTTGCCACAAACACATCCTGCTTGCTTGCTGCATGCCTGCTCTTCTTCAAGCGCCCTGAACACTGGCAAAAGTGTAAGGAGTCCTGGATTCCAGCCTCAGTTTCCTTATCTGTAAAATGGGCTTGGACTCACTAGACAGAGGCAAAGAGGTGAGTACTAGAAATGGTTTGCTGAATGCCAGGCCCATGTTGAGCTCCTCATCGGCATTCCTCCATAGCAGTCCTGGGAGAGCTCCTGGCTCTCACCTGCAGTTCTACAAATGAGGAAACTGAACTTGCCCAATATCAGTCATTAAGTGGCAACGCCAAGCCTGGCAACCAGGTTTGTCTGGCTCCAGACCTTGTTCACCTTCCACCATGCCCTGTTGCTGTCCCAATGATAACAGTACCTATACGCAGAGCTGCCTATCATGTGCTGGGTACTTTGCCCCCATTAATTCATGTTAATGATGCTAGACATTGACTGCAGGCCCCCTACTGGAAATGGAACTAGTCAACTCTTGGTTCATGGTTGACATTTAGCCACTGAGAGATACTGGCGCAGAGGGAGGGGCCATTCTTTTTTGTTGTTGTTAATCCTCACCTGAGGATATTTTTCCATTGATTTTTAGAGACAGTGGAAGAGAGAGGGAGAGACAGAAACAACGATGTGAGAAAGACACATCAATTGATTGGCACCCTGACCAGGGCTGGGGAGCCTACAAGCAAGGTATGTGTCCTTTACCAGAATCAAACCCAGGACCCTTCAGTCCATGGGCACACATCTATCTTAATCAGAGCAGAAATTTTCCGGCACCATCAGGGCTTGGAAAAAATGGTGGAGACTGAGTGATCTCTATAAGGCAGAAGGCCAGTGGACAGGTGACTTCAGCCAGGGCTGAAGCACCTACTGGAAGAGGACAATGAGTCCTCTTTCAGCCAATGAATCAAGCTCCCCACTCTAGCAGGCCTGGATTTCCTCCACCACATATACCAGCTTCCCCAAGCCCTCACAAATCTGGGATCTTTCAGGCCGTCCACACGTCCCCCATCCTCCTCCCACTGGCCACTGGAAGGGTTGAGAGATCCAGGAAAAGCACCGCAGAGAAAGCACTGCAAGTCTCTACTCCCCACCTCTTGCAGGGAAGGGGGGGGTGGGGAAAGAGGGAAGGGGAGAGGGTGAGGCATCCGCCCCACCCAGTGTGAGGCAGTCCCTCCCTCCTTCCCCCATTTCAATCCAATTCTTCCGGGTTAGACCCTGGGCAGGGCCAGGCTCCCCTAGAACCAAACACATCCAGAACATCCCCCGAGCCCATTGGATCCCTCGGTCAACATCTGGTCCCCACACTGCCACAGCCAGTGATTCTAATGTGGATAACGGACCAGATCTATTAAAACCCTTCAGTGGCCTTTAACTCACCACTGGTATGTTTCCTGAGAGCACTTTCCACACTTGCAATTCATTTATCCTTGGGATTTTTGACACTCGCCCCCACTCTAACCCCCTCCACCAGCCGACCCCTCTTGGGTTTGCTCTCTCTCTGCACCCGGGTCACGTCAGAGCCCAGTATAGAGTAAAGGGCCCAACAACTAAAACTGGCCTAGGAAACGAGGAACCGGGACAAGGTCATTCAGAGCGGTTACCGAGCCACTCCTCCTCCCGGGGCTTCTCGACTCCCCGTCCCGAGCTTGCCATCCACACCTCCCGCCCCATGCCCAACCCAGGACCCGGGACCGTAGAACCCAGAGGTCAACCGGAAGCGGCGCGTGCAGGGCAGTAAACACTGCTCGCAGCGCCCCACCCCAGCGCTCCTCAGCCCCGCCCCTGCCCGCCACGTGACACACAGGTCCGCTCGGACTCAGCGCCCGCCCCAAATGCCACCGCATTGGGCAGCCAGCTTTGTTTACCTAATATGGCCAGGTCCTAACACCCTGCGGTCGCCCATTGGCAGAAACGGAGCCTCACTCACCTGACGTCACTCGGGGCCGTATGTTGCAAATAAACTGGAGCATTCTGGGTACAGGAGTTCGGGGCCTTTTCCGGAACCGGCTCCGTGCGGTCCTAGCGCCGGCACGTTAAGGGCGAGGTTTCCGGCGGAGAGCACCAGATTTTGGGTGGGAAAGTGGGACCGTCGCAGGGGAGGAACCTCGAGGCTACAGACTGCCGGCCTCGGCTGTCCATCCAGGATGCCGTTCCTACCTAACCCCAGGAGTTGCTCGGGCCTACTGTGTACCTGACCAAGAGCCAGGCCAGGGAGGTACCCGCTTCCCAAGTGCGCGATGCGCTCGGGAGTGTTGGGGAAGACTTGGAAGGCTTCCTGGAGGCGGTGGTTTTGAGCAGAGTTTTAAAGGGGTAAAAGTTTATTCTCTGAATGAATATAGACGCCTACTGTTTGCCAGATCTCTTGGGCCTCGCGGCTTAGTGCTTCCGATTTGTGCCGAAACTGTTAGGGTCCTCTTCCCCAAAGAACCTTTGGGGAAGGTCCCAGATATGCCAACCACACCCGGGTTCGTCAGGGTCTTGACAAAGACCTTTGGCCTCCGCCTAGCCGACCCCCGTTAGTACCAGGGCAGAGGCGCGGATGCCCAGCTCTGGCCACGGCCCGCCCCTGCACACAGTAGGCGCCGGGCGGCGCCGGACAGTTGGGCCCGTAGCCCCCGAGGGCGCGCGGGCGGGCGCGGGCGGACTACATCTCCCAGCATGCCCCCCGCGGCCCCGGAGCCAGGCGAGGCTCGGTGAGTCAGAGCCGCACAGTAAATATTTGTATTAGCCGGAGCCGGCTCGCTAATGGTGGACGCGTGAAGCGGAGGAGCGGGCAGCGCGGCGTTGGCGGCGCCATGTCCGTGAACATGGATGAGCTTAAGCACCAGGTCATGATCAATCAGTTCGTGCTGACGGCCGGCTGTGCGGCCGACCAGGCGAAGCAGCTGCTGCAGGCGGCCCACTGGCAGTTCGAGGTGCGCGGCCGAGCGCCGGGGAGCCTGGGGCCGGGGCTGGGGGCCGGCCCGTGGGGTGTGTGCGGTGTGGACACGCGCGGTGCGCGCCCCGCGGGGGCCGGGGTGCGAGGGGGCGTGCTCCGGACCCGCTGTCCCTGATCGCGTGCTCGGGTCCGAGTCCCAGCGCGCTCACGCGGCGGGCTTGGCGGGCCTAGCGCCGCGGCCGAGTTGACGAGGCCCCGGAAACGCCGCCCGGAAACGCGGGGTGAGCCGGAGGGGCGGCTCGCCCCCTCCGGGCCCCGAATCTCGGACACTAAGGTCCTGGGCGGTGAGGATGCGGGGGAACCCCCACTTTTGTCCCGGCTAAGGCCAGGGCGGGGCGGCGCTGGGGCCGGGACACCGTGGGGCTGGCGGCCGGAAGGAGGACGCCCCAGGCCTGGGTCGAGCGGGACGTGTTCTGCCCGCCTTCGGTCCCCCCTCCCCGGGCCTCGGGGTTGGGTCTGAGGAGCCCCGGAGCCCACGGGCGGAGTCGCCCTGCGTGCGTGGGTCTGCGTGCCTGGTGGGCAGCCCAGACGCGCGTGTGCCAACGTGCATGTGCGTTTGTATTTACGCACGCGCCACGCTGCGTGTGGGCATGTTGGCGAGTGTAAACACGCCGTCCACCTGGGGCGCGGGCGCGGGGTGTGTGCTCCGTGCACATACACGTCGCCGCGTTAGAGCTAGTGGACATGCGTGTATGTACACCCGAGTGTACGGTGCTGTCTTGGGGCCCTCCTCTGTTGGCAGGGGACTCTATTTGCAGAGTGCAGGCGTGCGTGGTGTGCGTTCAGTAGCTTCAGCCCTCACCGCCTCCTCCCTGCCCTCCTCTCCCCTATCGCCCCTGCCCCAGGCCTCCCTGCCCCATAGAGCACTAGTGCCCAGGCTTGTGCTACCAAGAAGCTACCTTTCCTAACTCAGCTGCCCCAGGAATAATTCAAGGTAGTATCTAGGGATGAGGCCAGAGCCGCTTGAGCTCCATTCCTCACAGGTGTAAGGGCCCCCAGCCTCAGGCATTTGTACTCTGTGCCCAGCAGGGGCCCAAGAGCCTAGCTCCCCATGGGGAGCCAGCCCAGGAAAAGTGTTTTGGGCTTGCAGGAAGGACCAGGAGCCAAGAGAGCTTCCTGGGAGTTGGAAGGAGACAGAATTCCCAAGTGAAAGTTGGAACAGGCTGAAGTGGTCTATCCACCCCAAGGATCCTTGCTTCCTATCAGAGATCTGATGACTGTGTGACCCTCACTCCAGAAGATGCTCTCCATCTCTCTCTGGGAAGGTCATCTCCCCTCTCTGGCCTCAGTTTTTTCCTTTGTAACTTGGGGGTGCAATAGCCCCCCACCCTCAGGGCTGGCAGCCACACCCTGCAAGAAGCCTCCTAATCAGCCCTCTTGTCTCTGGGGCTGGATGTAGCAAAACTTGCAAAACCACATTCATGGCAGTTTGCTTGAATCCCACATCTGCATACATGGCTCCCTTCCTGCCTGGGGCTGGGCAGGCAGGTGTCCAGTGGGCGGGTACTCCGAGTCCAGCCCACAGAGCCTGGCAATAGCTTGGTGGTCCCTCAGGCAGTGTAGGTTGGTGTGGATAGATCACAGGAATTGAAAGTGTGGTTTTGAGGATTGAAATGTCTGGGGGGAAACTCTGATCTCAAGCAGGGGCAAGAGCAGCTTGTAGACTGGGGGCTCTGATGGCCTCCCAGGGGTAGGACCCCAGTGCCCCGGGTTCCCTGAGCCTCAGTTTCACCATCTGTAAAACGGGAATATGAATACAGGAAGGTTCACTTAAGGTGAAATGGGTCATGAACCCCCACCCAAACCTTAGGTCTCAGGATGGGAGTGAATGAGAGGTTCTTTATGGCTAACCCCCTTCTGCCTCCTCTGCCACAGCTGGCAGCCTACTTACTGAGGGTCTGACCCAGCCAGCTGGAGGCTGTCTTTTTGGGTCATATTCTCTGTGATTCAGGTGTTAATGGGGACAGAGGCTGCAGGGAAAGGAGGAACTTCTGTCTGCTCTAAGGGGTGGGGCAAATGTTTTTCCCTGAAATTCTCGCACTCAGTGGCCTTGGAGCTGCTGTTAGGAGAAGAATGGTTTGGGTGTGTCCCTGGGGCTCCATGGGTGGGGCTGGGGGTCACGAGGAGGTGCCTAGAAACCAGTACTCCCTTCCCCCAGCTCCCACACCCTATTTGGTGACACAGGTGGGGTTTTTCAGCAGGAAATGCCCGGAATAATTCATTTGATTGTACTTTAAGAAAATTACAAAAACCCCAGGGAAACCCTGGGAGCCAGGTTGGGTCTCTGGGTATGTTAGGGGTGGGGGAGGGGACGGGCAACGCTGGCCTGTGGGAGGCCAATCTGAGGGGGTGGTGATGGGAAGAATGAGAATGGCAGGGGCTGCTTAGAGCTGGGCCTCGGACTTGGCAAGACATGCCAGACCCTTCACACACTTGACGCTTTCCCTCACCAAGTACTTTCGCAAGAGCAGCTGGTTTCCTTATTTTCTTTGACGCCCTCCTGCAGAGGCTGAGCCAGGACACACCAAATGCCAGCACTTCCCTGGGGGCTCTTAGAGGCCACACTGGAGCCCCCTCGCTCCAGTCCCAGGGTCTCCAGATGAGCTGGTCTGACCCAGGCCAGCTTTCATCCCCCTTTCCTCACAGTCTTGGGTATAAACCGCATCTCTGCCATCCTTCTGCTCTGTCACCTTGAGAACATCCCGCTGGAGACTCAGGTGAGCGGGGCAGGAAGTGCAAACCAGACCATCCTACTTAACTCTGGCTCTCCCAGCTGGAACCACAGATCTTAGGAGGTCACTGTTGCAAGGGAGGGAACTTGGAAGCTACCTAGTTCACTCTCTTTGTGTTGTAGATGGAAAAAAACTGAGGCCCAGACAAGGGTGGAGTTCCTTGGTCAGCCAAGGAGAGGGACAGATGGGTCACAGACTTGACATCCAGGGGCCTTGGCTCAGAGGGGAGTAGGGGCTTACTGTCCATGGAGTTGGTGATAGTTGGGCTGAGGTCTCTGGGAGGCCTTTCCCCGTGAGACTGACCAGAATATTACCTGCCACCCAAGTCACAGTGCTGACACCAGGTATGTATGTGCAAATTGGAGGCCCCTGGCGTCCAGATGGTAGACATTTGTGAGGGTCTGCACCCCCCCCCCCCAAGCCTGCCCAGGGGCCTCCTTGGAAGGAGGTAAGGCACGAGTGGTGACAGGCCCAAGGTGGCATCAAGTCCCAGAGAGCCTGGGAAGGAAGGAGGGGAGCAGCGGGGTCAGGCAGGGGCTGAGAGTAAGCTTGGGCTTTTCTCCCCACAGACGGCCCTCAGCGCCTTTTTCCAGGAGACCAACATTCCCTACAATCACCACCACCAGATGGTAAGTGTCCCCTCTGGCCTCAGGGGCAGCTGTGGCAGGGTCTCCAGGGTGCGCTGCAGTGGCCCTTGGCCACGGAGGGGCCACTGGACAGGACCTTCTCAGAGCCACCAGCAGGTGTAGCAGGCCAGCCCATTCAGCACCGCCCCTTTCCTTTGTGAGCCGTGGACTGGGGGACTGGGGGGCAAGGGGCATGTGTCTCTAGCTAGGAGCCATTGGGAGATCGGGGGCCTCCCAGAAAGAGTGCTCACCCCACCCTTTCTGCTCTCCTCCCCACAGATGTGCACTCCCGCCAACACCCCTGCAACGCCTCCCAACTTCCCAGATGCCCTCACCATGTTCTCCCGTCTCAAGGCCTCTGAGAGCTTCCACGGTGGCGGCGGCAGCGGTAGCCCAATGGCTGCCACGGCCACATCACCCCCGCCGCACTTGCCCCACGGTGCCACCGGCAGCTTTGCAGCACCCAGCTGGCCAATGGTGGCCTCACCCCCAGGGGGACCACAACACCACCAGCCGCAGCAGCCGCCCCTGTGGACTCCAGCACCCCCTTCCCCCGCGTCAGACTGGCCACCCTTGGCCCCCCAACAAGCTGCCTCAGAACCAAGGGCCCACCCTGCCATGGAGGCTGAGAGATAAGGGAGGCCCCTCCCCCCTCCCGGAGGCCAGGACCCCGTGGGGCGGGGGAGAAGACGTCTCCACTGGCCCCCTTTACCCTCTGCCTGCACCCCCATTCCCTGGAGCCCTGGAGGGGAGAGACTGGACCCCCTGTGCCAGCACACAGGCTGCCAGCAAGTATGCAGAAGTGCAGGCACACAGCACCCAGCTTGCATGGATTTGGTTCAGATCACCTGGGTGCTGGTGAACAGAACTTCAGAGACCAAACAGTCTTTCCCAGAGGACTCACCCCACCTCAGGAGGCTGCGGACACTTGCCTGGCTCCTACCGTGGAGCTCCTTGGGGGCAGGCAGGCCTAGATCCCCACCCTCGGGAATGCAGAGCCTTCTCCGCATGTGTGCGTGTGGCTGTGTCTGTGTATTTATACGTATGTTACTCAAAAAGCAACCTAGTTTATGGGGCAGCTGGACTTTGCATGTTAGAGTGAACCCTGAGTCCCTTGCCTGCTGCCCCCCTCCCCAGGGCCCTCTTCTTCCCCCACTCAGCAGCTAGCCTTCCTGTTCCCTGCAGAGAAAAGGATTGTGGGAAACTCCAGGACTCTTCCCACCCATGCCCCAGTGCCTGCCTGCTGGGACTGCCTGCATGCCTTGCCCAGAGCCCGGGGTACCTCATACCCATTTCCTTTCCCCCTTTTAACAAAGGAGAAGAAAGAGTTCCAAACCACCACCAGGCTCTGTGGTCTTGCCTCTTAATCCTAAGCTTTGCTGCCAGCTGGCTCTTTGTGGGGGGAGGGTGCAAACTGAGCCCAGAACAGAGGGCTGCCCTCCAGTCCCGCACTGCTCCTGTGCGTTGCTGTCTTTTCATCCACAACATGCACTGGAATCTTTCCCCTATCCAAGGCTTTTCCCATGAAGTTGGTTTCTGGCCTGTGTTCCCAGAATCCCAGCCTCTGTCTGCCCACCCTTCCCCCTTTCTGGCTAGAGGGATCCAGACCTCCAGGGCTAACAACTGCCTTCCGGTCTGCTGGAGTTTTCACATAAAGACCTTTCTTCCTGTCTCCAGGCCCCAGTGGCTCTCTGAGGGCTGGACCCTCAGGCCCAACCTCCAGCAAACTTGCTGGGTGGGGCAGGGCCTTCCCCTGGGGAGTTGCCGGCCACAGTCCTCAGGCTTAAATTCAGAGCCAGTGAGGGCTAGGGACAGGACCAGGCGGGGGCAGAGTCCATCCAGTGCTCAAACCATTGGTTAATAGGGAAACAGGCCACTTTGGGGGAACAGGCAGTGGATCTGGGCTGGGCTGGGCTGGGCTGGGCTGGTACCTACTCTAGCCCTAAGGAAAAGCCAGATGCTCCACACTACCCTGGGCTACCCACACTGGGGGTAGGCTGCCTGGGGCCCTCTGCAGTTCTCACTAACAGACCTCACTCCCTAATTGTCTGGGCACCTCAGTCCTACGAGGATTGTTTCTGGGTTGGAGAGTCCTTTGTTCCCAAGGATGGGGTTGTGCTTCTCAGCAAAGATACCACTACCCAGCTTTGTCTCCACCCACTCATCCTGGACAGGCTCCTGACAAGCCCATCTGGGATGACAGTTTACTCTGGCTGTCACTGAAGACCGACCTCTGGGCCCCACTTGAGTGGTTGCTTACATTCCGGAAGTATGTCCTCACCTTGAAACCCACTTTCCAACAGCCTCTCAGTTCCAGAGAGGACACAGCTCTACACAAGGAGCAGCTTCTTTTGGATGGAAGAACATTCTTTGTAGAGGCAAGCATTTTTGGGTCGTCAGCTGTATTGGGTGAGCGAGCCTGGGCTCTCCCAGAAAGCTAATTACTGGGGTGGCTGTATGTTAAGGAACGCTAGGAGATGGAGCACCATCTAGAATTTGCCATCCTGGAGAAAACAGGGCTAGACCCCAGGCAGGCCCCTGTGATCTGAATGTGAACCACACCCTCGCTGCTCAGAGTGGTCCTCAGACTAGCAGCAGCACCTGGGGCTTGTTAGAGATCAGACCTCAGGGCCCAGTTTGAGAAATGTCCCTGGTAAGTGCTGGTCTGTTGGAGGTGAGGCCCATTTTTGTTTCTGGGGGCCATGTGGGCTGTGTCTGGAGGTCCCAGGGGGTCACATTAGGCTAAAAGGGATTTGAGTTTCCTGTAGACGTTGGTGCTGGGTCACTCTACCATGTAGGCATCCTAGTCCCTACCCAGTAGATGCTAGTAGCACCCCCAGGTGTGACAATCAAACTGTCTATAAAGATGGCAGAATATTCTTCCTCAGAGAGTCCCTGCTCAAGGCTGGGCTCATGGCTGGCTACACAGCAGACCTTCCTAGGGCTCTGAAAAGACAAGAACCTCTAGATTCCTCCAGTTTCAGAATTCCTGGAGTGGGGGTGGCCCTGACAGTATAGTTTTATATATTTTTTAAAATGAGTTTTTATTGAGTTTAGGGAGAGGGATAGAAACATTGATGGCTGCCTCCTGCACACCCTTCTCTGGGATCGAGCCTGCAACCCGGGCATGCACCCTGACTGGGAATAGAACTGCCACCTCTTGGTTCATAGGTTGATGCTTAACCACTGAGCCACGCTGGCCAGGCCTGACAGCATAGTTTTAAACACTCCCAGAATATTGTTGATTGACTTGTGAACAAGTTAAAGACCATTCAATTGCCCTAGCCCCATGGTCAGCAAACTGCAGCTCGCAAGCCACATGCGGCTGTTTGGCCGCTTGAGTATGGATCTTCCACAAAATACCATGGCCTAGGCGGGTATTTTGAAGTGGCATTAGAAGAAGTTTTAAGTTTAAAAATTTTGGCTCTGTTGACTAATAAGTCTGCCGACCACTGCCCTAGCCAGTTTGGCTCAGTGGATAGAGCATCAGTCTGCGGACTCAAGGGTCCCAGGTTTGATTCCAGCCAAGGGCATTTGAAATGCCCAGGTTGTGGGCTCAGTCCCCAGTGCGAGGGGTGAGGTTAGGGGGGCGTGGAGATGTTGGGCAGGAGATAGCTGATCAATGATTCTCATCATTGATGTTTCTATTTCTCCCTCTCAAATCAATAAAAAGATTTTATTAAAATTCCTTAAGAGCTATTAATGAGAAATAAAGTTAAAAAAATAAAAACCATTCAATTGCACACTTTAAAAGATGGGCATTGTAGCATTAATTACGTCAAAGCTGTCTTTAAAGGTAAAATAGCTCCCAAGTGCTTCCCACCCAGCACATACCTTTCCCAGATCCTGGGCCCCAGCAGCTCCGCCCACTGGGTTTGGGGGCAGTCTTAGGGACAGCTCGGTTTTCTTCTGAGGCACAATGTTCTCAGCAAACCCTAGAAAGACCCTGGGGACCCTCAGCAGCCCTAGGAGCGTCCATCGTCCAGAGAATATTGCAGGGGAACAAGCCCTTCTCTCTTTAAAGCTGTGTGAAGGAGGAGTCCTTCCTGCCCACAGAAAGCATTTTAGTCAACACTCACCCGCCAGGTGCCTCCCATCCCCCCTCCCCCACCCCACAGGGCCCAGATCCAAACTTACAAAGCATAAGGGTTCCTTGGGTGCTTGAGGCAACCGTTCTGGAAGAGGGCCCATTGATAACAACTTTTAAAAAGTGGGCAAGGTGGGACCCAGAGCAGGAGGAAGCAGAGGGCAGGGCTGGAGTTGGAGCTGGAGCTGGGGACTCGGGTACTTTCCAGCAATGCAGAGAGTGGCCCTGCCAGGTGGGCCTGGAGACCCCTGGCTGAACATCTCCGGGCAAGGTTATGGCTGCAGAAGTGAGCTGGCCAAACTCAAGGGGAGCCAGAGGTAGGCCTATGCAAATGCCACAGGCCCTCAAACATGTCACACGGAGAACCAGGAATGTTAGCTTCCCCAAGCCTGGAAGCTCAGGAATAAAACGAGGCATCAATAACCATCTATTCAAGTGTAAGCAGGCTAAAAAGTAAAGGTGCTGGAATACCAATGGAACGGATATTTACAGCCAGGTTAGGCTGAATCTCCGATGACTTTCAGGCACCTCCTGGGAAATTGGTCTTGTCACCTCAAAGTCCACCCCCTTCTGGGCTGGGTCACCTACATGACCACCAGACTTGAGCTTCAAATGACTGTTTCCAAAATTCCACTTTAAAAACATCATTTGCATCCATGAATTTGCTTAAAGGAATGTGATTTGAGCTCTATCTCATTTCTGATGAGGGATGTGGCAGCATTTGGGAATGACAACCTGGCCTGAGGACAGGAAGTGGCTGCACCCTCTGGTCTGCCATTAAAAGTGGGGGCATGGTTGTCTTAGGGCAGTGTTTCCCAAACTTTTGCCATATGTGTACCCCTTCTATAATTTTCGTAACGCTGAGTACCCCTCGTACTCATCAGAACGTAGAATTAGGCGCAGCTAAGCATGGTGCAGTGCATACCCCACCAAACTCTGGTGCAACGTGTACCCCTGGGGCAGGGGTCCTCAACTTTTTAAAGTGGGGGCCAGATCACGGTCCCTCAGAGAGCTGGAGGGCCGGACTATATGAACTACTAATTCCTACTGTAACACCTCGGCTGCGCTCACTGCCCAAAAAACCTGGCGGGCCGGATCAGACTCCTCTGCAGGCCGCATGTGGCCCGCGGGCCGTAGTTTGAAGACCCCTGCCCTGGGGGGTACGCGTACCACACTTTGGGAAACACTGTCTTAGGGGGTTGCAAACTCACAGTCCCATAAGTGTGCTGTTTGACTTGAGTAGTGTGTTGGGGTGTTTCTGTTGTTGTTTTGTCTGCCAGCATTTTCAAATGAGGATTGTTTACATGAAATCCTCACTTCTGTCTTATCTTGGAAATTTGTGACATTGAAGTTCCCTCATGGCCACAGCAGGCTGAAGTGGACCATCTCAGTGAGGACACAGCCAGCCTGCCCTTGACCAGCCAGCCACTCCACTGGCCACCAGAATGTGTGTGTGTGGCAACTCCTGGCTTGTCTTGGAATCAGGTGGAATCTCTGAAAGGGATCTCACTTTCCCGGGAGGAGCTTTGGATGTAAATCCCTGTTCTGTG